AGAAATGCAGCAGAATACATTTTGGCCTAAATTTATGAAGAAAAATTATTTATGTGCAAAAGTTTATAACCATAAAAAAAGAAACTTTTTTTCCCCAAAAAAAGTTTGGTCCTCATCAATTTATATATAGCAAAAAATAAAAATCCCAGTGGTAAATAAATACCACCAAAAAAGCTCTATTTGTGTGAAATAAATGCTAGAAATCTAATTTGGGTACAGCGTTGCATGACTGAGCAATTGCCATGCAAAGATTGACAGTGCTGACTAAGCTGAAATTTGGTATGGAAGGGGGTGTAACTGTGCAGTACTCAAGTGGTTAATAATGCTTACCATCTAAATATAAAATATAAATATTATTATGTATAATAATAATAATAATAAATATACTGTATATGTAGAAATCAGCTTATTGTGGCCACTAGATGGAGCAGAGGAGCATAAGAATTATGTACATGTTTGTAATAGAACATACAATGTAAGAATTCTAGAGAATGCTAGAGGGAATTAGCAAATGTGTGCAACCAATGTTTACATATATTTGCTAATTTCCTCAGTAATTGTTAGAATTATTACACTGTATATCCTATTAGCTGCTCCGCTCCTTCTAGTGGCCATAATGTGGTATTTTACTGCTTCAATAATAAAATAACATAACAACCTAAACAGCATTTGTTTTTGCCCAATTCAAACAGGACTAATGTACATTTATATTCACTGGATACAATGGCTATGCCAATTTTTTTTTATAAGTAGACCCCCTAGAGCAGGGGTGTCAAACTGCCGGCCCTCCCAGCTGTTACGAAACTACAAGTTCCATCATGCCTCTGCCCTTGGGAGTCATGCTTGTAACTGTCAATCTTGCAATGCCTCATGGGACTTGTAGTTTGGCAACAGCTGGAGGGCCTCCAGTTTGACACCCATGCCCTAGGGGTATTTGGACCAGCACAGTTTTCCCAGATTGCATTGACACAGATTGCATTGAAGGAAGCATATGAGAATTTGATTTTGGAACTTAGATACAGTGCCAGAAGTACAGTACTAGCTGTACTTTCTGGTATGAATGAAACTAGGATGTTTATCTTACAAGGCAGTGATCCAGATTTAGGATACTCCTCATTGGAGGTAATTTATTTGTGCGTAGCTCAAGATAGAGAAAAAAAATTCCTAGAATTCTGCTTTAATGTTGTCTGTGTAACTTTTTGGATGGTTTCCCCCTCACTTCCTATGCTGCAAACTTATTGTCCATTTGTATTGCTGTCTGTTACCTGTTTGAGGACATTTTTCCTTATTTCTTTCCAGGCAAGTTACAGAATGCAAAGGCAATCTGTCCAATGGTAACAGAGACAACAGTAAAGCTCCTTCTCCATTCTATCCAAAATTGTATAGGAAAAGATCTAGTTGGGTTTAAAGTGGTAGTAAATTCATGCACATTAAAGAGAAAAAAAAGTCTCCCTGCAAGTTAAGAGCATAATGTGCTAGTATGCACCACATACTAGCACATTATGAAATACCTTAAAACGAAGCCCTCCAGTGGTGCCCTGTCACCGCGTTTTTCTTGGAAAAATGTACACCAAAACGTATAATCGAAATTGGCATGGTGCTGGGCATATTGCATCTGCTACATATTATGGATCTATATAAAATATGGTGTTATCATGCTTTTAAATTTCATCAACCTCCACATACCTTTTGTTTTGCTATGAAGAACCTTATTGTTTTCAGTAATTCCAAGAACATAAGCACAAATGCTTTGTATTTAATAGAAGACACATGGGAATGCCATGCTTTGCATTAATAATTAGATGGTATAAAATTTGAAAATGAAGCAGTCAGCAACATAATAACAATGCAGACTTCTAAATCTTTTTAACTGGAAACATGTATTTTTCTCTAGCTATGTGTAATCACAAGATAATGCATGAAAATGAAAGTCATTTACCTTGGCATAGACTTATTTTGTCATTTAATACAGTAAGGTGATTATGTGAGCAGAGTGCATAGTTCCTTCATGTGGCTACATAACATTTAAACATATTGTAAACTGTGTCTGATTCATGCTGATATATTTCCCAATTCACAGACATTTAGATTGTTGCAGCATTTACTTACTGGAAGTTTTTAAAGTTTAGAAAGAAATCTCATTAGTCTATTGTACAGTCTAGATTAGGAAGGATGCAGTAGTTTAAAAAAAAAAAAAGTTCTAGCAAATTATGTGCACTGGGTAGAACAACATTTTTGCTATGAAACACAGCTTGGTTCCAGATTGGCAAAGGAGTAAAACAATACTGTGTTCTCTCATTTATTCTGAATATATAAAAGGGACTGGTGGAAATGATAGAAGTTTGCAGACTGATGGAAGTAACACAAACAATTTGCTTGCACAGTCCAGGGTAGAGAGTGCAGTGAATGAAACTGTTCTACAACTCCAATTCCAAAAAAGTTGGGATGCTCTGTAAAATCTACATAAAAACAGAATGCAATGATTTGCAAATCTCATCAACCCATATTTTTTTTTCACAATAGAAAACATAGCAAATGTTTTTAAACTGGGAAAATGTACAATTTAAAAAAAAAAATAAGATAATTTTGAAATTAATGGCAGCAACACATCTCAAAAAAAGCTGAGACTGGGCCATGTCTACCACATTGTAATATTCCCTCTTCTTTTATAAACACTCTGTAAATGTCTGTTAACTGAGGAGACCAGTTTCTGGCGTTTTGGAAGAAGAATGTTGTCCCATTCTTGCATGATGTAGGATTCTAATTGCTCAACAGTACTTGGTCTTCTTTGTCGTATTTTTTGTTTCAAGATGCACAAAATATTTTCCATTGGTGAAATGTCTGTACTGCAGGCAGGCCAGTTAAGCACTCAGACTCTTCTGCTACAAAGCCATGCTGTTGACAAATATGCAGTATGTGGTTTAGCGTTGTCCGGCCAAAATATGTAAGGCCTTCCTTAGAAAAAACATTGGATGGGAGCATATGCTGCTCTAAATCCTGGATATTTCTTTCAGCATTGATTGTGTGTTTCCAGATGTGCAAGCTGCCTGTTCCATACACTCTAATGCAGGCTTTTGAACTGAGCACTGATAACAAGCCAGAATGTCCCTCACCTCTTTAGTCCAGAGGATACAGTGCTCATGGTAGACAAAGAGAATGTCAAATTTCAATTTGTCTGACCACAAACAGTTTTCCACTTTGCAACAGACCATTTTAAATGAGCTTTGGCCCAGAGAAGACAGCAACTTTTCTGGATCATGTTCAGAGATTGCTGCCAGGAAGCTGATGAAATTTCTGCCAGGAAGCTGATGAGAGCAGAGGAACAACGCAGCATACACTGCAATATCGCAGGCCTATTGGAGAGACATTTGTTATGTTCAGAGTCACCAGCGGATGAAAAGCAGACTCGGGTCGGTAGGATCATGCACGCACCTCATTTCATTGTTGGCGCCTTGAGACTGAGTCCAGGCCTATAGTTAGTTAGTTAGGGTCTCTGTTTGTGTCAGGCCACACCTGTTGTTACTGATTATTGGAAGGACTCCACAACTTAAAGTGACATTTTACATTGGAGAGCTGATAAAATCCTACAAACTCAAGCCAGACTGGCGTTTTGCTCAGAAGGAATACTCAGGCACATGCTACAGGACCAGTTATGGGAGAGGGAATACTGTAGATTTGTGTAAGATTGTAAGCTGTTGTGCTGCACCGCAGGCTAGCCCATGCCATATACCCATACACTGATGCCTGCTCTTTTAGGGTAATAACAGGTAAGGTGTGGCAGCTTAGTTGTGCCCGTCAGTAGGTAAATTTTTACACCTTCTACCTTCATCCATCAGAAGGCGCCGTGCTGTGTAGCACAAGGGTCTCAGCCTTTGGGCTGGGTATATGTAAATTTATTGTATGTTTCCAGCATTTGTGGTTGTGTTTATTTGCCGCTTCTAAGTAAAATTCTGTTGTGGCAAAAGCTGGTGTTGAGGTTGCTTTCCTCGTTCGTGACTTCACTGTATCCTGGGGAGCCCACCCCGGTACACGGCTTACATATGGGGGATAAAAAGGATATTACTTTACAGAAGAAAGATAATGTTTTATGCTTTCAGGTCAACTTGCATGAAGTGGCAGGGACAATGCATTTCTGGCAATCACAGGTATTTTCTGTACTTGCTGAAAATGTTTTTAGCCTAAAAAAAATGAATGCAGCCACCACATGAAAGGACTGGAATGTTTAAATATGTTATATTTTGATTTTTGCTTTTAGTTATCCTGTAAAGCAACAGTATAATAGAAGAATGGCATACTAACAAGTCTCATGGAAAAATAAATCACTGACAGTAATGCTTTAGTTTTGCAGACTGTGTAACTCCTTTTTTATACTTGACTAAATAACATATATCCAGAGGTAAAACTAAAAACTGCGAGTCCATGATGCAAAATCATTAACAAGGGGCTCTTAAATTTTATACAAACTGTCTCTTTTTTGACCTTATGATAGTAATTTTTATCAAAACTGGGTAAAAGCTCACTCATCTTTAATTCATTCCCTAGCAGCCAACTTCAATACTAGAAAGCATGTAAGAATAAGTAAAAAAAGGTTAGAAGTGATACAGTTTTGCACACATACAAAGATAGGTGATAGATAAAGGAAAGCAGTTATAGTTAGATCCCTCAATGTTATAGGGGATCTATGGGGGAATTTCCCTATTCTGTGCTGCCTCTATGTTTTGCTATTATGTTTCTATTATCTGATTTATGCATATTTTAAAAGCGTGGGTATAAATAGGCAAAACCGTATTATGCCCCATAAAATATTATGATGAATTTGGAAAAAATATGTTCTGTGCTTTTTTATCTTTTGATAGGTATTAACAGAAACTGTCCCCTTCCTTATGGAATATTTATCTGATCCCAGTTATAGTGATCTCATCCTTAACATACTCCTAGACATATCATCATATGAACCTCTCACACTGACTGGATCTCTTTCCACAATAAAGGAAGTCGGTGAACATTTCCCAGGACTTATTGGACAGATAGCAAAGATTTATGGAGCAGTGGGTCATGTGAATGAGGTATGTAGAATTATTTTAATGTACGCTGTAGCTTCTCACTGTATAATGCAACTTCCAACTTTGCTAGTGTTTATCATATCCTTATCTTTAGTATTGCAGCAATAGTAATTCCATTTGCATCTCAGGACAAAACGAGGTCAAAGGGTATAAGACAGTGAAAGTTCATGGTTGGTATGATGAAAACTGGAATACTTAATGAAATCTTGGAAATTAGGCAATAATAATGATCCAGTACCTCCCACATAATTGCAAAATTACTATCATAGTTCATATAGAAGTTATCTTCATATCACTGTAGTAGTTTTTTAACTTTCATTTCTGTAAAGTGTTATTTAAAAAAACATTCAATTAGTTTCATAGTATGTCCCCATGTTATAAAGGGACCACTTAGTCTAAAACAAAAAAAAAAAGGTTATTGAAAGACAGCTAATTACAACTTCACAGTTATGTATTATATGTAAAGGTCTTTTCACCTATATAGAAATTGAGATATTGAACATTGATGAAATGCTGCTGTGTAGCCTCCTGTTGAATGTTAGCAAAAATGCTGTTGGCATGAAAACTTCTTCCATTAGATTTGTGGACAGGAAGCCATCTGTGTGTTTTGTATACGATCGTTCTCCTTATCGGATCATGAATATTAAAAGCTGCTTTATAAAAAAACTGATATTAAAGCAGAGCTAATGGCAAGTTTTCCCCATTTTGGATAGAGTAAGGATAGAGTAAGTTTATTTTTTATTATTTCTTTCACTCCTCCTTTGGTCACTGTCTGCTTAATCCCTTCTCTCTCACCTAAACGCTAGCCTTACATGTTCACTTACCTAGTATTAATCTACACAGAAGGGGTTACTTACTATTTACTATATTGTCAAAGCTTAATTGAACAAGCTGAAGTTAGAAGCTGATTGGCTACCATGCACAGCTGCACCAGATTCTGTGTGCACCAGTTTTAGGAAATCTAGCCTTGTGTCTTTCATAGAAGGCACCACCAGACCAGTATGGATGGATGCTGCCGTGTAACTCACCCTCTAGACGTTCCAAGAGGGTAATACTCAAACTCCTAGTGTTTTTTCATCTTTTATACCTGATATCTAAGTACTGGAATTTTTTGTACCATATATTCATCTACTATTGATGAACTTTGTTATTTATATAATCTCTCTATACTCTGTTCTGTGACTTTTGTTTCTGAAAATTCAATAAAAAAATATTGAACTAGAATAATGGTGGGTAATAACCCCTGTCGGATTTTTTTGTCACCTGTGTACAGTTGTGGAGATTTTCTTTTGCTTACTGTCATACCATAGTTAAAACAGGTAGTGAGAGGAAATCCTTCAAAAAGAGGGAATCCCTGGTTCTCAACCGGGGTCACAAGAACTAGTCCCTATTGGAAGATTTACCCTCTATTCCTTTTTTGTGGACAGCCCTAAATTTGGGATTTTCTTTAATTTTCACTTTCAGTGCTAATGATAAACAGAACAAATAGACAGGACCCTACTTGTATTAATCCCACCGCACTGGAAGATTATGGCGGTGGGGGTTAATATATCTAGTGAGCTGTCAAAAGCTCTCATTGTTAGAGCTCGACTATGCCTTCCCTTTCCCGATCTGCCTTTCATACGAGTCGTACTACAGCTTCTATAAATGTAACATGATCTCTGAATGAAGAGGGAATAGCTATCAATCATCCCCTTATCCTCCATTCAGAGATCATATTCAATTTATAAAAAGCTGTAGTACTGATTCTATGAATATCAGATTGGGCAGGAAAGGGTGGGCATAGTCAAGCCGTCTTAATGAGAGTTCCTGACAGCCCACTAGTTCTGCACGGGACAATTATGGAGATGGGGTGATTTAGGATACAGCAAGATTTCTAATGAAGGCAGAAGAATCTGGAGAAGGGACACATCATACTAACTATATATTTTGTCACTTTTGTGCTGATTCTTCTGTTTTTAGTTGTAGCTAAACTTAGGCTTTAAGTTTTCGTAAATAAGTTTTGCATACATTTTACTGGTTTAGGCCACTCAAATAGATATTCTGATTGGAACTACCAAAAAAAGACTATCTGATGTAGTTTGAATAGATTTCCATCAGTGAACAGTGAATCTTTCCCTGATTGTTCTTTTTTGCCATACATACTGTTCAGCGCCATCTATATTTATGTGTATGTGTGTGTGTGTGGTGTATATATATATATATATATATATATATATATATATATATATATACAGTGCTCAGCATAAATAAGTACAAACCCCTTCTAAAAAGTAAGATTTTAATCAATATCTCAAGGAAGACCAGCACAATTTTCAAAGTTTTGACAAAACTGAGTTCTATAGAGTATTTATTCAGCTCATTACATAAAAGTAAGGTTAATAATATAATGTAGGTTACAAAATAATATAATGTAGTTTAAAAAATCTTCAGTTTTACTCAAATTAGTTGATGCAAAAATAAATACATCCCACAACAAAAACTACTATATCTAGTATTTTGTATGGCCTTCATGATTTGTAAGCACAACACCAAGTCTTCTAAGCATGGAATGAACAAGTTGGTGACATATTGCAACATCTATCCTTTTCCATTCTTCAAGAATGACCTCTTTTAGAGCCTGGATGCTGGATGGAGAGTGATGTTTAACTTGCCTTTTTAGAAATCCCCATAAGTGTTTGATTGGGTTCAGATCAGGAGACATACTTGGCCACTGAATCACTTTCACTCTGTTCTTCTTCAGAAATGCAACAGTGGCCTCAGATGTGTGTTTTGGATCATTGTCATGTTGGAAAAGTGCACGACGATCAAGGGCACAGAGTGATGGTAGCATCTTCTCTTTTGATATAGAGCAGTACATCTGTGAATTCATGATACCATCAATGAAATGCAGCTCCCCGACACCAACAGCATGCATGCAGACCCACAAAAGGACACTGCCACCACCATGTTTCACTGTAGACACCATGCATTTTCTTTGTACTCCTCACCTTTGCTACGCCATGCAGTTTTGAAGCCATCAGTTCCAAAAACATTTATCTTGATCTCATCACTCCAGAGTACAGAGCCCCAGTAGTCTTTCTTCTTTTTTAGCATGGGCCCTGGCAAATTCTTGGAGGGCTTTTTTGTGCATGGGCTTTAGGAGAGGCTTCCTTTGTGGACGACACCCATGCATGCCATTCCTCTGCAGTGTATGCCACATTGTGTCACAGGAAACAATCACCTCAGTTTGGCTTTCTACTTCTTTAGCTAACTGCAGTGAACTTGCATGGCGATTTTCTTCAACCCTTCTCATCAGAAGACACTCCTGTCAAGGTGTTAACTTCTGTGGACAGCCTGGACATTTCTGTGAGACGGTTGCAGTTCCATCCTTGTTAAATTTTTGTATCACTTTTGCTACAGTATTCTGACTGATAAGTAAAGTTTTGCTGATCTTCTTATAGCCTTCACCTTTCTTGTGTAAAGAAATTATTTTCTTTCTCAGGCCTTGTGACATTTCTCTTCCATGTGGTGCCATGGCAGCATGACATCGGAAAGGGTTTTCTTTGTTACGTAACGCCCTTTTATATTCAACTGTCTGCTGGATACCTGTTTAATGAATAATTAGACTCACTTGTAGTTGAATTCTTTTTAATTAGAACTTTGTCTAAAATTTAGCTTTGCTCTGAAGACTTTCATTGGGGTGTATTCATTTTTGCAACAACAAATTTGTTAGTAAAAATACTTTTTTTTGCGTGTGCAAATGAACAAATCTTGTTTGCTATCAATGGCCTGCATTTGTGGGAGTATTTTGTAGTATAGTGTCCCATGGAAAATGTTGATTTTGAAAGTAAAGTAAAGTTTTTCTGACAAATTGTTGGGGTGTACTCATTTATGAGCACTGTGTGTGTGTGTGTGTGTGTGTGTGTATATATATATATATATATATATATATATATATATATATATATACACACACACACACATATTGTACATATATCTATACAACTCTCTACAAACGAAAAGCCTACAGAAAAATACCTAGAAAATGTAACATTGGATTAATGCTGTAAAGAATACTTGAATTCCTGAGAAAACAAACTGCATCTTGCTCCCTAGTTGAACAACATTTTTGAAAAGGTGGATTGCTCAGATATTGGGCTGAAATACAATAGGGCAAGTGGACTGGTTTTGTTTTTTGCAACTATTCTGCTAAATTGAGGACCTGTTTCAATGCACTTGTTCTCATTGAGGCTGCTGATTTCCCTTTACAACCCAACAGGAACTTAGCTGGTAGCAGGTTTATGCAGCTTAGGAGTAGGTCAACTGCAGGTCAAATGCAAATGATCCAGAAGTATCTGAAACTGATCTCAAATGCAAGCAGAATGTACCTGAAAGCAGTCTGGTCTTTCTCATAGACACATGCCTAAAGTTCATCAGAACAGGACCAATTATGTGTGAAGTATTACAATAAGCAAAATAAATAATTGGTTTTTAATAGTACTCAAGAGAAAGTGAAAAAAAATTTTACATTTAGCAAGACTAATCTTCTAAATAAAATGCAATGTTAGGAAGGCCATGTACTTTGTAACGTTCATATTTTAGTATTGATTACTACAATGTATATTGAATTGAATGCACAAATACTGAAAATTGGCATGGGGTCATTCAGCTAGGAAGTGTTGTGTCAGTGATTTTTGATCTTCTCTCTAAAAAGTGACCCTATAACAGAGATTATGTGTGTGGCACACATAATCCCTTAATGGCCCTTAAGGATTGCTTAGTAATTTTCGGGTTCCCTGTCAATCTGGACCTCTTTCTGAAAGACCAACCTCCGCAGACACCACCGTAATCTTGTGACCAGAATAAGTCACCATTGTAAAATGGACTCACACACAAGTTAGTGTAAACCAATATGAAGTTTAGGTTGAATTTGAATGTAGCTTGATCAAAAAACACAAAAAATAATGTTGGCATATGCAGAAAATATAATCACTCTTGTCAGTTTTAAATAAAGGTTACAG